AGTCAAACTTGCGACCACTCGTCGACATATCTGAATACTCATTTTTTTATATGTAACGGGTTGAGGTTTAGTTGTTCCAAATAAAAATGTATATATATTAGCCACTATCTCGCTTGGTGGCAGGCGATGATGTGGCCTACAATGAGGCACGTCTGTCCATTAACGACCTATTCATTCGGGCCTTAAAGACATTCAGGTAACACCGGGTGTGTTACCTGAATGTCTATTCGAGCAAGAGAGGTCTTTTACCTTAGTAGTCTCAGTCTTTCCGGTGCCAGCAGGGCCAGCAGGAGCACCACCGAACTTGAGGTGCATCGCACACATCAGAGTCAGGTAGCACCGGTCCGTCAGCGGAGTGATCACTAGCCGGCCACTGGAATATAAACCATGTATTTCTGTTTCATAACGAGCATGCGACGTACTAATGTACGGTCAAAGATCAAAAGTCCACTGACACCGTAAGACTATTACCGGTTGCGCTGCAGCGCTTACACCCACATGCACACGCATATTTTTATCCGTGTGCGTACGAGTGCGTATGTTTATGCGTACGTACGCGTTTTTATGTACATTAATATGAAATTACTTACGCATTGCCGTGTGAACATCACTCACGGTGGCGGTGGACTTTTGACCTTTGACTGTACATTTATACATACATACACAACGTCACGCCTGTCTCCTATGGGTACCAATGGGGCAATACGGTATTTGACAACTAGTAAAATTCAATACTTTTTTCTAACTGTCAAAAACGACAATATTCTTTCTTGAATTTTGTACGACATTGAAAAAAATGACGTCACGTTTTTAAGCGTCAAACAGCATACTTATTTAAAAAAATATATTGAAAAATTCTAAAATTACGTTGGTCATGAAATCAGCTAATGACCAGTGTGATTATCTATATAAATAAAAATGAATTTCTGGTTGTTAGTCTCGCTAAAACTCGAGAACAGCTGATCCGATTTGGCTTATTTTGGTCTTGATAGGTTCGTGGAAGTCTAGGGAAGGTTTAAAAGGTGAGAAAAAACTTTTAGGCGGTACGAAGTTTACCGGGTCAGCTAGTATTTTAATATTTTATTGCAAGTATTGAACAGTCGAAATAATTTATTTTTCATTAAGGAAAGTACCCAATTGTTATGATTCTTACATATCTCTTGCGGTTCACAGTGGAGTGTGTTATGCATGTTACACTGGCATATGCCCGCGGCTTTGCCCATGTCCCCGTAAGTAAAAAGTAGCCAGTGTGTTATTCACGACCATAATCTATCCCCTGTTCCAAATTTCATGGCGATCCCTTCAGCCGTTTTGAGGAGGACTCAATCTTGAGTAACAAGCAAACACACTAAACATTTATAATATTAGTAAGATAAAAAAATAATTCGATCCTTACCTGTTACCGAGGTATTCATTATGGTAGGGCAAAACAGAATTAAGGGCTTTCACGTTGCAGCTGTTCTGACTGAACTGGCGGTAGTACCTGCTCGTATCTAGTCTCACCTCATCCTGGAATATGTCCGGCTCCTCACCCGGCTCCAATGGATACATAGGTTTTACTACCTGATAATACCTGAAAAAAAAAAACAAAGCACTATTTTATGGAATAAGCCGGTAAACGGTAAACAAGACTGCATGGTTGGCGCGGTGGCTGGGCAACTGGCTGCCGCGTAACGTGTCGCGGGTTCGATTCCCGCACGGAACAATTCTTTGTGTGATCCACAGATTGTTTTTCCGGGTCTGGGTGTCATGTGTATGTGAACTTGTATGTTTGTAAACGCACCCACGACACAGGAGAAAATCCTAGTGTGGGGTTTATTACATTGGTTTATTATTGGGGAAGCCCCCCCACCCCCTTTCCCAATCATTGTAATTGGGCCTCCGGAAACCATCGGTGTTTTACGTCATGTGAGTAAGGTCACGTTACACGTCGGTTTTTTGTGAGGCCGTGATATCATTCTTATCGAGCGGGCCCATTCGTGTCGAAGCATTACTCTCCTACACTTGAAACTATACGAACCTAAATCATTTATAGGAATTTTTGTACTGGTAACAACAAAGTTTACGGACAGTCTGATTGTAAACGGCTAAATGGTTACAAATTAATAGTGATGATATCGGTGGCACCTAATCTAGAACAATTTAAACTTCATTGTAGAGATCACATCCAAACTTAAGACATTTTATTCCATACAGGAATCAAATCTGCGCCAGGTTGCATAGCAATCAGGCGTTCGATCGAGCAAAATTTTCGTCAAGCTTCCTCATGCGAACCGCTAAGGAATGGAATTCCTTGCCAGAGGCTATGTTTCCCGTCAAATATGACTTAGGTGTCTTCAAGTCCCGTCGGCCAAATCATCGCTTACCATCAGGCGAGATGATGGTCAAACGTCGACCAATAAGGTATAAAAAAAAAATCTCCAATACAGGTAGAACGCCTAATAAAAATATTTAAAGGTAAAAAGTGTCAGTCTATCGGTCAGTCCCCTAGTAAGGCTATTTGCTCGTTCCATTGTCAGATTCCGAGGCGGAAACTCCATGGTTTTAATAAGTATCATGTGTCTCGATTCAATTCTGTGTGGAGTAAGAATTCAAGCTTCTCACCGAAGTTGGCAGATCCATTGGAAGTCGGTGTTATATCGGACATTCTCGTCAACTAAGCTCTTGGTGACGTCTCGCGCGTGCACCTCCACCACGATCAGGGCGCAGAGTACCTCGCGTTGGAAGTACGTCAGCTCTCCCTTTACTAAAGCGCGGAGAGTATCCAGCTAGCAATAAAGAAATGTAGAATACAATATTTTTGTATTATGATATAACCATCGTATGCCATGCGAAAAGCTGCTGTGAGCCCTTATACTGACTTGATACTAGACGGGTCATCTTGTCAAATATGATAGTACGCCACAGAATATAATAGGACTGCCTCGTTGACCGAGTGATCGCAAGTGCGACTGCCGGGCAAGGAAAAAAAAGTTCGATTCCCGGGTCGGGAAAAGTATTACTGGGTTTTAAAAAAAATCCCAGTAGTAGCACGGAGTCTGGAAATGTGCCCGGTATATGGCAATAGGATCACCCCCTATTACATGGGACTCATAACATAAATAATGAAAAGTGGGTGTTACTTCTGTGTGCACCTCTGCCTACCCCTTCGGGGACAAAAGGCGTGATGTTATGTTATGTTAGAATATAATTAATTTAGAATACAATATCTCATCATCATCATCATCAACAGCCTATAAGTGGCCACTGCTGATCAAACGGTAATTTCAAACTTATAATTAGAAATTATAAGCCCAGGCTTCACATTGTTTTCCTTCACCGTTTGTCAGTGATGTAGATAAACTTAGAAAGTACATATAACTCGGAAAAAGTCACATCGGTACTTGCCGTTGGTAGGTTTCGAACCTGCACTCTCATGCATAAGAAGCGGGCGCCTTAAACCTCCGGATAACCACGACATTATCATATCTCAAAGAACTAGCATTTGTTACCGTTAGCCCATTTTGTCTACTGCTGGACTGTTTTAAATCTTTTTTTATTACAACAGGAAACATCCATAACATAACATAACATTACGCTTTTTATCCCCGAAGGGGTAGGCAGAGGTGCACATTATGCCACTGTACAATGTAACATCCACTTTTCACTATTTATGTTATGAGTCCCATGTAACAGGGGGTGAGCCTATTGCCATATACCGGGCACAATTCCAGACTCCATGCTACTACTGAGATTTTTTTAAAAACTCAGTAATACTTTGCCGGACCCGGGAACCGAGCCCGAGACCCCTTGCTCGGCAGTCGCACTTGCGACCACTCGGCCAACGAGGCAGTCAGAAAATATCCATTACGTCACAATTGAATTATTTTAAAATTTTTACCTGTTTCAGATTTTCTTCAAAGTAGAATTCCATTCTGTATTCTTCTATAGCTTTTTCGACATTAGCGGTCCAAGCGGTCTGCGATCCAGCGATGACCACTTGACCTGGCCAACGCAGCACCCACTCCACACGAGGTATTAACCACAACTCTTCCAAAGCCTCAACCAATGTCAGACGGACTGGCGAAAAATTGAGATGAGTCATACAGCATTTTAAACCGACATCAAAAAAATACAAGTTGAAGTTTTTTAAACGTAGTTTATTGTATTAAATAGATTTTGTTATTACTATACTAAAGCCTTCTCTTAAATGTAACAAACACTTTCCTGATTACTGCATCAAAATCGGATCAGTCAATCGCGAGATATTCGCGCACAAACAAATATACGTACACACGGCCACGCATCAATCTATACAAAACCAGTTGATCCTGGTGTCGCATCGCATCATCTTTCCACACATTTAACGTTCAGTTTATACTGAGGCCTTAATACCTTAGATTAAGGCATGTAGCCAATTTTTAAGGACTTGTTTATGTAACCATTCTGACTGACTCTC